GTAGGATCAAATTATGCCCCGGGATAAGGAAGGGAGTGGTTTTTTAGTCTGTACAAATGGGACACTACCTTGCAGTATGGGCTGCTTGGTGTCTTTTGAAGATCTTTCCAATTCGACGAGAACAAAAATGCTAAGAACTCATTAAAAAATTGATTTCAAATTGATCATTATATGCACCAAATTTTAACAATAATGATTACAGTATTAATGGGATTATCGCACAGAATATTAAGAATCTTTTAAAAGAATTTAGTAAAGATGAATTATTGATTTCTAATGAATTATTGGCAAATAATCTAAAATATATATTTATTCCTATACATTCCTAGACATTCCTAGACATTCCTAGACATTCTTATGCATTCCTATACTTTCCTAGACAATCCTAGACATTTCTACATATTCTTAGACATTTCTAGACATTTCTAGACATTTCTAGACATTTCTAGACATTTCTAGACATTTCTAGACATTCTTAGACATTCCAAGACATTCCAAGACATTCCTATACATTCCTATACATTCCTATACATTCCTATACATTCCTATACATTCCTATACATTCCTATACATTCCTATACATTCCTATACATTCCTAGACATTTCTAGACATTCCTAGACATTCTTAGATATTCCTAGACATTCCTAGACATTCTTAGACATTCCTAGACATTCTTAGACATTCCTAGACGTTCCTAGACATTTCTAGATATTTATAAACATTTTTAGACATTCTTAGACATTCCAAGACATTCCTATACATTCCTAGACATTCCTAGGTATTTCTAGACAATCCTAGACATTCCTAGACATTCCTAGACATTCGTAGACATTTCTAGACATTGCTAGACATTGCTAGACATTTTTAGACATTCCTAGACAATCCTAGACATTCCTAGACATGCGTAGACATTTCTATACATTCCTAGACATTTTAAGACATTCCTAGATATTTCTAGACATTCTTAGACATTCCAAGACATTCCTATACATTCCTAGGCATTCCTAGACATTCCTAGACCTTTATAGACATTCCCAGACATTCTTGGACATTCCTAGAAAATCCTAAACATTTCTAGACATTCCTAGACATTTTTAGACATTCCTAAACATGCCTAGACATGCCTAGACATTCCTAGACATGCTTAGACATTCCTAGACATTCTTAGACATTCCTAGATATTTCTAGACATTCTTAGACATTCCAATTCATTCCTAGATATTCCTAGGCATTCCTAGACATTTCTAGACATTCCTAGACATTCTTAGACATTCCAAGACATTCCTGAATATTCTTAAATATTCCTAGACCTTTATAGACATTCCTAGACATTCTTGGGCATTCCTAGACATTCCCAGACATTCCAAGACATTCCTAGACATTTTTAGATATTCCTAGACACTCCTAAACATTCGTAAACATTCCTAGACATTTCTAGACTTTTTTAGACATTCTTATACATTCCTATACATTTCTAGATATTCCTCGATATTCCCAGACATTCTTAGACATTCCAAGACATTCCTAGACATTCCTAGACATCCTACACATCCTAGACATTCTTAGACATTCCTAGACATTCCTAGACATTCTTAGACATTCCAAGACATTCCAAGACATTCCTATACATTCCTATACATTCCTATACATTCCTATACATTCCTATACATTCCTATACATTCCTATACATTCCTATACATTCCTATACATTCCTATACATTCCTATACATTCCTATACATTCCTATACATTCCTAGACATTCCTATACATTCCTAGACATTCCTAGACATTCCTAGACATTCCTAGACATTCCTAGGCATTCCTAGACATTTATAGACATTCCTAGTCATTCTTAGACATTCCTAGACGTTCCTATAAATTTCTAGACATTCCTAGACATTTATAGAAATTTTTAGACATTCTTGGATGTTCCTATACATTTCTAGACATTCCTAGATATTTATAGACATTTATAGACATTTTTAGACATTTTTAGACATTCTTGGACATTCCAAGACATTCCTATAATAAGAATCTTTTAAAAGGATTAAGTAAAGGTGAATTATTGATTTCTAATGGATTATTAGCAGAGCTCATTTCCTAAATAACAGTCAATTAAAATATTATACACTTACTGCGCCTACAAAGGTTTTAATTTCAGCACGTAATTCCGTTTCGGTCAAATCGGAATTTTCTAAAAGTAAATCAAGAAATGCTAGGTTTTTCTTCTTAATACCATCTTCGTTATAAGTTAAATCTCTTAATTGGTTTAGATTAAATTCTTCCTTCTTTTTTCTGATTATCTAAAAGATGTATTTAAAAAAATATTAATTCAAAAACATCATACTGTGTAATATTATTTTTAAAGGGTCTTTTTCTGTTCTTCTTTCTGCTACTCAAGAAAAAATTAAGCTCAATTAGTATATTATTTGTGCACAACTGGAGTAATCACTCTGTATCTTGGATGTAAATAATCAGTAACTCATTAAATATAGGTCATTTAAAACTACTTGTGTGCCCCCAATCTACCCCTAACAAATGTGCTATTAATTTTAAATTGACTTAAGATCGCTTACCCCTGAAATAACATTTTGGAAATGATTATTGTTCTCATCAAATTCTTGTTTCATTTTTGACATTTTCCAAGCTAGTGGATTCTGATAATAAACATTGAATACTCGTATGTTAGCTAACTCCATTAATCTACGAAATAAATATTGATCTGGTATCAAAATTAAATTCCTACTTGTTAAAGTTGAAACTGGAACCTTTGTTTCGTCTCTAATTACAAAACTAATAGATTTATAAATTTCAAAATTTTAGAACACATTTATAAAGAGTGTAGAAAGATTACTCTGCAAACAAAATTCTTAAATATTAACAGCTGTTAAAGATAGAGGGTATAAAATTTAAATTCCTACTTGTTAAAGTTGAAATTGGAACCTTTGTTTCGTCCCTAATTCCAAAACTAATAAATTTATAAACTTCAAAATTTCAGTACACATTTATAAAGAGTGTAGAAAGATTATTATGCAAATAAAATTCTTAAATATCAACAGTTGTTAAAGATAGAGAGTATCAAAGTTAAATTCTTACTTGTTAAAGTTGAAATTGGAACCTTTGTTTCGTCCCTAATTCCAAAAATAATAAATTTATAAACTTCAAAATTTCAGAACCCATTTATAAAGAGTGTAGAAAGATTATTATGTAAATAAAATTCTTAAATATCAACAGTTGTTAAAGATAGAGAGTATCAAAGTTAAATTCTTACTTGTTAAAGTTGAAATTGGAACCTTTGTTTCGTCCCTAATTCCAAAACTAATAAATTTATAAACTTCAAAATTTCAGAACACATTTATAAAGAGTGTAGAAAGATTATACTGCAAACAAAATTCTTAAATATCAACAGCTGTTAAAGATTATCAAAGTTAAATTCCTACTTGTTAAAGTTGAAATTGGAACCTTTGTTTCGTCTCTAATTCCAAAACTAATAAATTTATAAACTTCAAAATTTCAGAACACATTTATAAAGAGTGTAGAAAGATTATTCTGAAAACAAAATTCTTAAATATCAACAGCTGTTAAAGATTATCAAAGTTAAATTCCTACTTGTTAAAGTTGAAATTGGAACCTTTGTTTCGTCTCTAATTCCAAAACTAATAGATTTATAAACTTCACAATTTCAGAACACATTTATAAAGAGTGTAGAAAGATTATTATGCAAATAAAATTCCTAAATATCAACAGTTGTTAAAGATAGAGAGTATCAAATTTAAATTCCTACTTGTTAAAGTTGAAATTGGAACCTTTGTTTCGTCCCTAATTCCAAAAATAATAGATTTATAAACTTCAAAATTTCAGAACGCATTTATAAAGAGTGTAGAAAGATTATTCTGCAAACAAAATTCTTAAATATTAACAGCTGTTAAAGATAGAGAGTATCAAAGTTAAATTCCTATTTGTTAAAGTTGAAATTGGAACCTTTGTTTCGTCCCTAATTCCAAAACTAATAAATTTATAAACTTCAAAATTTCAGAACACATTTATAAATGGTATTTAAAGATTATTCTGCAAATAAAATTCTTAAATATCAACAGCTGTTAAAGATAGAGAGTATCAAAGTTAAATTCCTACTTGTTAAAGTTGAAATTGGAACCTTTGTTTCGTCCCTAATTCCAAAACTAATAGATTTATAAACTTCAAAATTTCAGAACACATTTATGAAGAGTGTAGAAAGATTATTCTGCAAATAAAATTCTTAAATATCAACAGCTGTTAAAGATAGAGAGTATCAAAGTTAAATTCCTACTTGTTAAAGTTGAAATTGGAACCTCTGTTTCGTCCCTAATTCCAAAACTAATAGATTTATAAACTTCACAATTTTAGAACACATTTATAAAGAGTGTAGAAAGATTATTATGCAAATAAAATTCTTAAATATCAACAGTTGTTAAAGATAGAGAGTATCAAATTTAAATTCCTACTTGTTAAAGTTGAAATTGGAACCTTTGTTTCGTCCCTAATTCCAAAAATAATAGATTTATAAACTTCAAAAGTTTAGAACACATTTATAAAGAGTGTAGAAAGATTATTCTGCAAACAAAATTTTTAAATATCAACAGCTGTTAAAGATAGAGAGTATCAAAATTAAATTCCTACTTGTTAAAGTTGAAATTGGAACCTCTGTTTCGTCCCTAATTCCAAAACTAATAGATTTATAAACTTCAAAATTTCAGAACACGTTTATAAATAGTATAGAAAGATTATTCTGCAAATAAAATTCTTAAATATCAACAGCTGTTAAAGATAGAGAGTATCAAAGTTAAATTCCTACTTGTTAAAGTTGAAACTGGAACCTTTGTTTCGTCTCTAATTCCAAAACTAATAGATTTATAAACTTCACAATTTCAGAACACATTTATAAAGAGTGTAGAAAGATTATTATGCAAATAAAATTCTTAAATATCAACAGTTGTTAAAGATAGAGAGTATCAAAGTTAAATTCCTACTTGTTAAAGTTGAAATTGGAACCTTTGTTTCGTCCCTAATTCCAAAACTAATAGATTTATAAACTTCAAAATTTCAGAACACATTTATAAAGAGTGTAGAAAGATTATTCTGCAAACAAAATTCTTAAATATCAACAGCTGTTAAAGATAGAGAGTACCAAAGTTAAATTTTGTTTTAAATTTGTATTATTTATTAATTGGATTATCTTATTAATGATAATAAGTAAAAATGTATGATAACCAATGATATATATAGTTTATATAGACTGCTTATTCATATGTTAAAAAGGCGACAAAAAGCGGGACAAATCACCAGGCAGAATAGGTCTGGTCCAAAGTAGGAATTAAATTTTAAAAAAATAATTACTATCTTATTTACATATGGGTGAGCAATCTATATAACTCTGGACATCAATGGTGTGATTTAGTGATTTAAATTATCGACTTTCGACGTTTTTCTGGTACAGTAACGTCGTTTTGATTTCATAGATTTTGTAAACAAAGTTGTTTCTCATTTTCTATACACTCCATAATATTTTGACAATATATTTTTACAAGGTACTTACATTTCAATACACTCTCCTAGACTACATTCATTTACTTCTTGCACGTTCATGTTTATACCCATAGCAGTTTCTAAAAAAATTATAAAATAAAACAGATATATAAAGGGTGTCCCAACAAGAGCGCCGGATTTAATTTGAAGGAAAAACACATTTATGTTTTGAATTAAGTCAACATTTTTATTTTAACATAAAGAAAAATGGTTACGATTAAACGTGAAATACAACATCAGGCAAATGGCCACCACGAAACCTCTGGCACAGAGTTATTCTTTTGGTGAAATTTTGAATCACGTTTTCGCATAAATGAGGCTGTATTTCACCAATAACGTGCCGTATTTCCTCTTTAAGATGTTCCACTGTTTCAGGCTTATTTGCATACACCTTTTGCTTCACATAGCCCCAGAGAAAAAAGTCCATCGGCGTTAGATCGCATGATCTTGGTGGCCAATGGTGATTGCCAAAACGAGAAATGACACGGCCTGGAAACTTAGTCTGCAGTAACACCATTGTTTCACGAGCTGTGTGGCAGGTCGCACCGTCTTGTTGAAAAAACATGTCCTCCACATTAATTTCATCCAATTCGGTCCACAAAAAATCCGTTAACATCTCGCGATATCGCTCACCATTAACAGTTAGCGCATTTCCAGCCGCATTCTCAAAGAAATACGGCCCAATCACTCCGCCAGCCCAAAATGCGCACCAAACAGTTACTCGTGGTGGATGCATTGGTTGTTCAAGTATCACACGAGGATTTTCAGCACCCCAAATCCGACAGTTTTGTTTATTTACATATCCGTCGAGTTGAAAATGTGCCTCATCTGAAAACATTATTTTCTTCGAAAAATCCGCATTAATTTGATGATGCTCCAACACCCAATCAGCAAATCCACGGCGTTGCGCATGGTCTCTTGGCTTGATTTCTTGCACCAATTGAACCTTGTACGCATGCAAGTGCAGATCTTTTACCAAAATTCGTTGCATAGTGCCTCTGGAAATGTTTAATTCTTGACCACGATGCCGAATGGAAGTTCCCGGATTCTCGGTCACAGATTCCCTTACTGCGGCTATATTTTCGAGTGACCGACAAGGACGACGACGTACAATGGTCTTCTGATCCATCAGCGTAAATTTGGTCTCAAATTTTGTAATTAAACGCCTCACTGTCGATTCATTTGGCGCATCATGACGACCGAAAATTTGACGTAAATGGCGAACTGTTTTCGCAAAACTTTCACCATTTTTGTAATGTGTTTTTACAATAATTAAACGTTGTTCATTTGAATACTTCTCCATATTCTTAAATCGCGCGGTCTGTAGGTGACATCTGTCAAAAAAAATTGACAGTGCAACTCGTATTAACAAAATGGCGGCAAATTTAAATCCGGCGCTCTTGATGGGACACCCTTTATATATATATATATATATATATATATATATATATATATATATATATATATATATATATATATATATAGCCAGAAATATGGATAACTGCGTTGTTATAAAATAAACCAGATCAAAATGAATATAGAAACATGGATAACTCAATTTTTTTAAGTTTTATTAATTAATATGAAAATAACTACTGGGTGATCTTCTTAACTATCTGATTATAACTGAAGAATAGTCGAGCTAAGTGATGTAAGTGCAAAAATAATTTATCTAAATGTGCAGAGACGTACAGATATTAAAAAAAAAATCAATAAACCCAAAGCTAAATAAATTTTTTATTCACTGCTTGTTACGTAACCCTTACTTACCACAAATAGTATCCAAGGTACATCTTGACACTAAAATATACCAGTCGACATCTTTTTTCCCAACAAGCTCACTAATTTTTTCAGCAAATACTTTGCTCTTATCAGCGAACACATCAACGAAAGATTCCAAAATTTTCTGATTAAAAGACGGTGTTATTGTTTTGCGGTGATGTCTCCATTTTTTCGCTACAAAATAAAAATTTTTAGTCTCATTTCTTTGTTGATGAATGATACTTACCATTCGTCGTAAGTAGCCCATCTCCAAGTATTTCAGCAAACGGTTCATATATATAAAATTGCTTTTCTATAGCTCGAGGGCTATTTAGGATTATTTCGATATATTTAGGATCAGATACCATAAAATATAGATCAGGACCCATCCACAATTTGTATATTCCAGAATACTGTTGTTGGATTGATTGTAAAGTTGATAATATTTCTAAAAATACGCATTCTAAACTCTGTAGCTGTACATTATGATATTTTTTCGTACTCACTACTTTCTTTTCCAATGAACATGACCGCAGAACCAATAAGAGGTAAGCCAAATGGTCCGGGTATGTTCATCGAATACCAGTATAATTTTCTTCTAGACCACAAGTATTTTATATACCAAATTCCTAAAGTTGTGAATAAAAGTATCCATAGATTTTGTTGGACATGTAATTTGGAATACACGTTATCAGTTATAAAAAGCTAAAATAAGAAATATATATATTCTGTCTGTCTGTCTGTCTGTCTGTCTGTCTGTCTGTCTGTCTGTCTGTCTGTCTGTCTGTCTGTCTGTCTGTCTGTCTGTCTGTCTGTCTGTCTGTCTGTCTGTCTGTCTGTCTGTCTGTCTGTCTGTCTGTCTGTCTGTCTGTCTGTCTGTCTGTCTGTCTGTCTGTCTGTCTGTCTGTCTGTCTGTCTGTCTGTCTGTCTGTCTGTCTGTCTGTCTGTCTGTCTGTCTGTCTGTCTGTCTGTCTGTCTGTCTGTCTGTCTGTCTGTCTGTCTGTCTGTCTGTCTGTCTGTCTGTCTGTCTGTCTGTCTGTCTGTCTGTCTGTCTGTCTGTCTGTCTGTCTGTCTGTCTGTCTGTCTGTCTGTCTGTCTGTCTGTCTGTCTGTCTGTCTGTCTGTCTGTCTGTCTGTCTGTCTGTCTGTCTGTCTGTCTGTCTGTCTGTCTGTCTGTCTGTCTGTCTGTCTGTCTGTCTGTCTGTCTGTCTGTCTGTCTGTCTGTCTGTCTGTCTGTCTGTCTGTCTGTCTGTCTGTCTGTCTGTCTGTCTGTCTGTCTGTCTGTCTGTCTGTCTGTCTGTCTGTCTGTCTGTCTGTCTGTCTGTCTGTCTGTCTGTCTGTCTGTCTGTCTGTCTGTCTGTCTGTCTGTCTGTCTGTCTGTCTGTCTGTCTGTCTGTCTGTCTGTCTGTCTGTCTGTCTGTCTGTCTGTCTGTCTGTCTGTCTGTCTGTCTGTCTGTCTGTCTGTCTGTCTGTCTGTCTGTCTGTCTGTCTGTCTGTCTGTCTGTCTGTCTGTCTGTCTGTCTGTCTGTCTGTCTGTCTGTCTGTCTGTCTGTCTGTCTGTCTGTCTGTCTGTCTGTCTGTCTGTCTGTCTGTCTGTCTGTCTGTCTGTCTGTCTGTAAAATTTAGATTGCGCAACTCATTTACTTTAAAAAAGGTACTCTTGATAAGACTCAATTACTCTCATGGTTTTGACGAAATTTGCATTTTAGTAATTTTAGAACATAAACAATAATTATTAAAATACAAACTTTGTATTCGATTCTTGCCATGTACGATTTTTTGAGGAATATTAATTATTTGCCTGCAATACGTATACAAAAACATTTATTGTTGGTTTCCATAGTTTCATCTAAATAAAAATATTGTCAAGTTTTAACACCTAATCTCTTGTTAACGATTGATTCAATAATTAAAAAAACAAATGCGTGGTTTATTAATATGGCTGTACAATATACCAATGCAGAATATACCGATATGTTACTGATATTAGGATTTTGTGAAGGAAAATGCTCGAGAGAGTGTCAGGGTGTACTCTGAAAGGTTTCCAAATCGTCGTGTACCTAGCCACCCAACTTTTGCTGCTGTTGAGAGACGTCTTCGGGAGACCGGTTCCTTTGCTCCCAACACTGTTGATAGGTTAGGTTGAAAATGAGTGGGATGATCTCATCGCCCTCCACTGCGACCCAGATGGGTCTATTGTGGCTCATAACTAGGGATGGCAAAATAAAAAATATATCGAATCATATGATATATCGAAATAATATATCGATACATTCGATATATCGAATGAAAAATATCGATATTTTGAATATATCGATATATTTTTAATAAAATGTAGAAAAATGCATTTTTTAACAGTTAAAATGCGATTTATTTAGGACCGATTCCACCGTTGTGTTAATCGAAGTATAAAATGACATTTTTACATTAAACAATGTCATTTTAATCTCCCTTTAACACAACGGTGGAATCGGCCCTTATTCAGATAAGTAATGAAATATACAATACGTGTTTTTTTTAATATAGAGGCGAACCAAACTTACTCAAACTTAAATATTTACTTAAAAAAGTGTTTTTCTACACCCGTATTATAATAATGCACTTATATGCACATAATCCGTTTCATAATGATACCCATTATGATACAGATTTTTCATTACGATACAGATTTTTAATCAATAGAAACCTACAATTTTTCAATCAAGCATGCTGTTTGACGTTTGTCCTAGGTTCCTATGTAATTATTTTAGTTGTCAAAACGTATTAAATTTTCGTAGGTAGCTAAACTTCGATAATTATAATATTAAAATGTCTGATATTAGCGATATAGAAGACTCCTCCACAGATATCGGAGAAAGCAGAAAATACAGTACAAAATATTTTACCGCAAAAATCTAGGGAAATACCAATACCTGAAGTAATACCATTAATTACAATTTTGTAGAATTTTTTATAGAAATACGAGTAATTACTGTTATTGTGTTCAATACCAATATAAATATAATATTTATAGGTCTTGATTATTTATCGGGTGTAGAAAAAATAGCGTATGCAACTCTCATGTAATGGTTATTAAAACACTCGCATAAACCATACGAAACTCGCCTTTGGCTCGTTTCGTATCCCGGTTAATGCTCGTGTATTAATAACCATCATTACATGATCGTTGCATAATATACTATTATGATACATGATTTGAAAGCTTTCTGAGAAGATAACTCAAAAATAATAAATATGACAATCCCTTGCCAGATATAAACTGTTTTGGCTTTCTGTTGCTGTCAAACCAGCTTTCGAAAATAGTCTAGAACAGAAGCTGCTACTGCAGAAAAATATTTTTATTAACTACTCTGGACACCGAAAATATAACTAAAAATATGCAAATTCATACATCAGACCAAACCAGGGTTGCCAACTTTTCAAATTCCATTTACCGTACCGCGCAATTCAAATTACCGTACGTGGCCTTCCAATACCGTACACTTTTATTTTGTAGAAAACTATGTATAAATATCTTTTTGTCGAGCTTCTAAAATAAAAAAAGTCCTCATCATATTTTACTAAACCTCTGGTCCTTCTACCTAGCTTCTACAAAAAAAGGCCTTAGCTTATATTTTTGTAAAAACCCAGTCCTTTTAAAGGACATGTGCTGTAAAAAAGATTAAATCTTCATTTAGTAATTTAAACTTCGTTTAACACAACGGTGGAATCGGCCCTTACACACCTCAAAGTCTTTGCTAATTCTGTTCAAAATACCGTACGTTTACCGTACTTTTTATGTAAATACCGTACTTTTATGTACGGTAATAACTTTGGACCATATACCGTACATTAATCGAATTTACCGTACAAGTACGGTAATTACCGTAAGATTGGCAACCCTGGACCAAACATAAAAAATAACACAAAGAGCCTCGTACACGCCTGACGTGTTAGCTGCCAACGTCAATTAACATCGCATACGCACAAGCGCACGTTTTATGAATAATGTTTTCGATATATCGAAACGATTATATCGATATTTTTTCGATATATCGGTAATAAAATATCGATTAAAATATATCGATATATTTGTGAAATATATCGATACTTACACAACATCGATATATCGTTGCCATCCCTACTCATAACTAACTTATAGCACAGCTTATACAATACAGCTCCACAACTCCGTGTCGGCGTCTTTGATCTGGCGGTCGAGAACCAAGCAAGACGGAATGGTGCTATCTCTGTTAGATTCAAGGGAAAAGTCGGGCCCGGATTAAACAATTTTTTTATTATTGAAAAAATTGAAAACCTTGGCGTAATAAGGTTGGTCACATGCCATATTAAGTAAGTTTTGGGAAATTACATTTTTAATTTGTTTTAAATCTTTCAAATATAATTAAAAAAATTATTTAAATATAAATATTACGAAAAATAGCACATCTTTCGGATTAGAGGTAAAATAATTTATATATGGCTAGTAAAATCCTCGTTAACAAATAATGTTTTGAGCTAAAACAGTCACTTCACGACAAATTGTGGCTTGGATCCATTTTACACCAAGGGCTTCAATTGTTAAAGAATTGTGTCACGCTCGTGGATGCAAATCAAGTGGTACCCCCGTGTCTCTGGCAAGTGTTACTCTTCGCGCAAAGGGTGTATACCTAGATAAACGAATGCTTCGACTGAGGTCTGGGAACTCTATGGTATTTTGGAATTATAAAGAATGTGTGCTTTTGTTTTAACAATATTGGTTATATTTAGATGTATTCTTATTATTTGAAATACAGATTTGTAGAAGTTATGCTTTGACAGTTTTTATTAATATAATATATTCAATTTTTATCTGACCATACCGAAGTAGGAAATTTTAAAACTTTATAGTAATGTGAAATTTGAATTACAATATTACAAGATATAACATAATTAGTACTTATTTTAGGTAGGTACTAAATTTGTACTTGGAGAAAGTAATATCGATTTTTACAAGAAAACTTGAAAAGTAAATTAATTTAATTCCTATTTCTGATGTAAAACTTAAACCAAGAAAACAAATAAATTGTAGTTTGTTCAACAAGGATGGATATGATAGCCATATCACACAAAGACGAAGTTTGAGCACGACGTCGTAGGCGGAGAACTCAATCGTCTGATTGTGATATGAACAATCTACTCGATATGGTCAGTATATTTTTTCTACGACCCACTAACGAAAATCTACAAATTTAAAAATTATTTTAGGTTATTTAGACAAAATAACTAATTTTAAAATAATTTACGAAGTTGACTAATTTATAAAATAAAATAAACATGAAAAATTAATTAGTCCTCGGCCTAGATTCGATCCCGGACTTTTCGCGTGGAAGGCAGATGCTCTGTCTTCATCTTCACCGAAACTTTCAGGACTTTAGTTTTAATACTCGTAATTAAATTAGTATCATGTAGTTTAATTAAAATTTATTTTTTTTAAATGTGGACACAATAGAAACAAAAATGCTATTATTTATCGAGTCTGCACAAAAATTTTAATGTATATTTAATATCAATAACTAAAATATATATTGACAATTAGTTTAACAGAATTATCACTTATTTAAAAAAATTTAAATAATAGGAGTTGGGTGACCAAAATATGAACTGTGATTTGTAGATTTAATTTTGTTAAAGTGTTCTTACTACCTAAAATGGATATGAAATATATTCGTAGTTGAACACAATAACATACTTTTTCGTTTTGTAGTATGTGCGTAGATTGGCTAATATCCATGCACAGATTACAAAACGAAAAAGTATGCTATTGCCTTCAATTGAACGAATATATTTCATATCCATTCTAGGTAGTGAGAACACTGCAAAAAAAATAAATTCGCCAATCACCGTTCATATTTTGATCAACCGACTGCTATTATTTTTAAAATTTTAAATAAATAACAATTCTGTCAAACTAATTGTCAGTATATTTTTTAGTTATTGAGATTAAACATACAATAAAATAAGTTATTCTTTTGGAAAACGTTAGCATGGATGACTAAAGGGTATTGGGTTAATTAATTCTAAAAGTGTGGTACAAATGTTATTTTTTGTAGCCAATTCTTCAAAATTATTTTAAAATATCTTTTCAATATTGAATATTAGTTCTACAAATTCATCATTTGACAGTTGCAGATTTCCAAATGTATCTGAATTGGCGTTATCATATGCCTTTTAAAAGCAATAAAAAGAAAAATCGTCTAATTCAACGTGATCTTTGTTATATTTAAGACAGGTATCGCAGGAGTGGATCCGCAAGGCTTTTATTAAAAGGTAACCACACACATAACTGATAAAATTTTTCTGTAGCAATTCGTCTTTACAATAATTTAGGGTGTTAATAATTTCATCATAAAATAAAATACAAGGTGTTCTATTTAAAAAACATACATTTTAATTTTCCAGGCAAAAACGTGACACCCTGTATATCCAAAGATATTTTTAAAATATGTAGGTATTTTTCAAATCCATATAACTTTTATTTAAAACTTTCTTGCGTGTCTACAACAAAATAATGAACAATAACGCACTAATGAGACACCCTGTATAAATTATATTTTTAACAATGAAAATTTCTTATAATGTAGTACTTATCGGTTTGGGTCCCTGGGAAAACTAAAGAATGTTTTCTAGCAGGTATAACCCTTATTAAAACAGCTTTTGACTGCACAAACTCATTCTACTCACAGCTAAAGAGTCACCAAAATATTAACAGTACCTTTAACTCAAACAAAATCAACGAAATTATAGGCTCCACGAAATTATACAATCAACGAAATTATACGCACGACTCAACACCTTGCCTAAGTACGCTTCTGAACGCCAAAACCGTCTTTTCCCTTCGAAGGCGGAGCTTAAGCGATGCGCGACGAAATCGACGCAAACCGTTGCCGCCAAGAGAGTGTTTTAGCTGTATTGTATAAGCTGTGGATATAGTAAATATTTAATACAATAGTCATAAAAATGATTATATATTGTGCAGCGACCCCTTCGGGGACGCTGACGGGCTAAAAACACATGTTTCATTAAAGATATAGTAAATATTTAATAAAATAGTCAAAAAAATTCAGCTATAATTCACTGAATTTTTATTTAATAATAATAGTGTTACCCACAACTTCTAACACTGACAAATAAATTGTGCAGATGCCTTTACAAGTTGTAAAATTTATTAACCCACCTCTGAGGTACCCCCTTTCAAACAAAAAATAAATTACAAAAATCCAACACTGTATTAAAGAATTATCGCTGAATATACGTAAAAAAATATTTCGACGAATTTAGAACCTTCTCATTTTTTTGAAGTTGATTTACAAATTGTAAAATTTATTGATCCACCTCTGAGGTATCCCCTTTCAAACAAAAAATAAATCATAAAAATCCAATACTGTATTAAAGTATTATCACTGAACATACATAAAAAATATTCCAACGAAAAAGTAGCCACCCTGTATCTAAGTTAAACTAATTATAACAAAAATATTTTCTGTATTTCAAATGCACAAAATAAAAAATCTGATCACGTAAGATTCTTTTGATAAGAAAAAAGTTAAATAAATCATAAAACTCACTTTTCGAACAATTATAGAATTTTCAAATATGTAGTAAAATAAGTGATAGAGCACCATTATGATTCACAAGTACTTTGTATGAAGTTGGGTACTAGAATATAGTATAAAATAGGTTGGTTACATAAACTGATCTATTAACATAAATTTTTTTCAAACTCATTGTCATATTCCTTTCTCCAGACTCTTAGAAAACTATTGTAATAGTATAATAAGAATTAAATGTATTAATCTAATAGTAATTAATGTAGTACCCACAATAATATTAATATTCAGTAAAGAAATTTACAGTTATGAACAAACGATACAATCTTAATAGGCGTAAAGTAACCACAAGTTTCATTGAGATTCGAAGGTTAGGAGCGTATTCCCGATTTTTTATTTTCAACTGCTTAACACGGTAACTGCCTGGGCAATTATGGATGAAAATTTGTATCCTTTTTACAAAGTGGTGTAGTAGATTGATCCATTGTTTAAGTTGACCTATGTACTTATAAACAAGCTCCAGGGGGGCTATGAGGGATATAGCCCCCTCGAGATGAAAATTCTTACGATTTATAAGCCTTTTATTCATAAAAATATGCTAACAAGGGTATATCTAAAGGCTAAAGGATTGAAATTTGTTTGTTTTGTTAAAAAATCGTTTTTGAAATTGAAACTGTCGATCGCGAGCTACCGGTAGCTCGGCGCGGCGACATTGCGCTTAGTTTAAAACTGAACGCGTAACCAACGTCCAGCGGTTGGGTTAGTAGAGAACAACAAAAAATAATATTATGGCAAGCAGTTGTAAGAAGATAAAGACATACCACTTTCATTCAGAATGGGAAGAACAATACTTTTTACAGAAGTTAAAGATAAAAATGTGTGTTTGTTATGTAATATTTCGGTCTCCGTTGCTAAAAAAGGAAATATTGAGAGACATGACACTGCTATTTTATATAAATAACAATCATGGCAGTTGCTAAAACAAAAGGCAGAGAAAGATATGGTTGAAATAAAAAATTGGTTTGCATATAATCTCCTCACTCTTAACATTAAAAAAATCTGATGTGTCCAACACATGACTTTCCTATCTAGGTATTACAGGCTTTTTCCGGTTATTTTGTACAACCTATTGCAGCATCTCTATAAATGTTTAGAGGATAAACTAAATATATACATTGTCCACATACATACATCTACCGCGAAACATTTTTCTATAGATATTCATTGAAAATGAAAATACTGAAAAATTTAAATTTGGCACTTTTCCTACAATTTTTCCATTACGGTCCATTTTAAAAAAATCATGTATAAACAAATATTATAGAGATCGATATCGCAAACAACTTTTATTTCAACAATATTCATAAAAATCAGAATTTTGCACATTTTGTCAAATTTTTCGAATACGGACCATTTCAGGAAATTTTTACATAAAGCAAAAATTATAGATAATAATATTAGAAGTAACTTTTATTTGAACAATTTTTTTCTTCAAACATAAATAACAGATATATTCCATAAAATATAAAAACGGCCTCCCATAAAGTACCCCCCCAGATGTTCCGACTTTGTCCAAAATCTAATCATTTCACGTCAGGCCGAAATAAAACTTAAGTTTAAAATTTAATGTTTTTTTCTTTATCCATTTTTGAGTTTTCTTCAAATTTCGAAATTTACACATTTTCTCAAATATCTCGAATACGGTCCATTTTAGAGAAATTATCTATAGGATAAAAATTATAGAGAATTATATTACAAACAACTTTTGTTTGAACAATTTTTATAAAAAAAAATATTTTTTTACATTTTGTCAAATTTCGCGAATACGGACCATTTTAGGAAAATTTTGTATATAACAAAAATTATAGATAATAAAATAAGAAGTAACTTTCATTTGAAGAATTTTCTTCCCCAAACGTAAATAACAGATATATTCCATAAAATATAAAAATGACCACCTATAAAGTACCCCCCCAGATGTTCCGACTCTGCCCAAAATCTAATCAGCTCATTAGACGTTGGAACAAAGCTTAAGTTTGAAATTTGGTATTTTTCCGTGTATCGGTTCATGAGTTATGCGTTATACAGACACACACACACAGACACACAGACACACACACACACACACACACACACACACACACACAGACACACACACACACACACAGACACACACACACACACACACACACACACACAGAGACATCATCGCGAAAATAGTCAAAACGGATTCAGGGGACCTCAAAACGTAAAAATCCGTCGAAAACTCGAGGTCGAAAAAAATCATGATTCCTATACTTTCCTTATATCTGTATACAGATAGGAAAGTAAAAACCAAATACCTTTCTTTTCCATCCTATGTTTCGGGCTTACCAATACTTGGTCCATTAATTATCGATAAAGACACTGAAATTCCAGAAGCAGACTCCATCAGATATCTTGGAATAATTATAGATAGGCACCTAAGATGGGACTTGCACATAAATAATTTAACGAATAAAATCAGAGGCCTTTTATCTAGATTTAAATTATTAAGAGACTTTTTGGATACACAACACCTAAAAATGATTTATTTTGCCTTAGTACAAAGTTTGCTTCAGTATGGTATATTAGGATGGGGAGGTGTGTTAGATATATATATATATATATATATATATATATATATATATATATATATATATATATATATATATATATATATATATATATATATATATATAAACAAATTACATATTATACAAAAATGGATGTTACGAATAATTTATAATAAACCAATTATATATTCAAGTAATCTCTTATATCAACAGAATAAAATATGTGATGTACGACAATTATTTTCGTTTAAAATACTTATTAATATTCATAAAGAGAAAATTTTAATACAATGCGCAAAACATGATTATGAAACACGCAACAAAGAATATAAAACACAGCTTCCTAAATGCAATAAAACAATAGGTCAACACAGTTGCAACTACATTAGCTCTAAATTATTTAATTATTTTCCAAAGGAACTGAAACAAATTAAAAATTTTCTTATTTACAAAACTAAACTTAAAAACTGGATTTTAGAGACGGATCGATATTTATTCCATCAGATTATAAATGAATGCTTAACATTCTAATTATACGTGTTACAGATACACATAATAAATAAAACAAATATAATAGTAATAATAAGGAAAAAAAACTTAAGATTGTTAAAAATTAACTATTTGAGACCTCACTTCACGGATTAGACTTTTATTTTTGATTGTAACCCTATTTTTAATTTTTAATTTATATATTAACTGATTTCGTTCTGTATTTGTAGGTAAGTAATGCATATAAATAAGTAAATAAATAGTTGTTTTAAAGTTAAGATAGTAATTGTAAATTTAATTATTTAATTTTATATAAGTATTTTTTAACCTGTTATATTTACCCGCGTACAAACTGATTGTATTCAGTTTCTGCGGTGTTTCATGTTTATTCGTATGATTATGTATTTAGGTTTGTACTTTTAAAATATTTGAATAAACATATTATTATATTATTATTATTATTATCATAAAACTGTACATTCTAATTTTGAAAAATCATTCCCACTACATTCTGTCGCCAGAAAGGAGAAACTGAAACAGTTAAAAAAGCAGTTAATTGGACAACAATCAATCTTTTTAAAATAAGGCTGCAACTGAAGCATCGTACCGTGTGTCCCAGATAATTGCACAAAAAAAGAAACCTTATGAAGACGGGGAAATGATAAAACAGGCGTTTTTAGAAGCTGCTAATTCGTTATTTGCCAACTGTAGAAATAAAGACGAGATAGTTTCAACTATAAAATCTATGCAACTTTCTGCTAATACAGTGATGAGACGTGTAGAAGTAATGAGCAATGATATTTTTTTACAGTTAAGAACTGACTTAGATAACTGTGTTTATTTTTCACTTTAGCTGGATGAATCAACAGATGTCGTTGACACTGCCCAGATGGTCGTGTTCGTCAGAATGGTTTTTAGTGATTTTACGATTAAAGAAGATCTTTTGAAGTTTATTTCCACTGAAAGAACACACTACTGAACAGGAGTTGTTTTCTCATTTAAAAAATATTATTTCTTCCGAGAAAATTCCAATATTGAAAATGGTAGGCTTGACAACCGATGGCGCTCCAGCTATGGTGGGTTGTGATAAGGGTTTGGTGGCGTTATGTCGTAAAGATGAAACTTTTCCGCAATTTCTCTGTTACCACTGCATTATCCATCAGCAAGCATTATGTGGAAATTTCCTGAAACTAAACAACGTTATAAAACGGTGGTAAAAATTGTGAACAAGATTAGAGCTCAAGCGTCAAGCTAGGAGTTTTGGGAACAAAACCTAATTAACAGCGATGCCAAGCATTTTCCTATTCTTTCAGAAAAAATATCTCAAAATCCATTAGAACTCTATGACAGCAAATATCATATAGAAATAGTTTCTACCCTGAAGAATAACTTCAAAAATCGTTTTAAGGATTTCAAACGAAAAGGCTTTAGTAGCGCAGTTTGTTGTTTCACCCTTTATGGAAATTGATATCCAACAGTTTGCAACTTGTGTTATGCAGAACTTTGGCGAAGACATCGCTGCAACAGAAATGGAAGTAATTGAGTTTCAAAATGATTTAGCCTTAAAATCGTTAGTCTCAAGTACCAAATTTATCTGGCCTATTGTAACTAAAGACAAATATTCAGTTCTATGCCGTGTTGCCTTGAAAGTGAAAGCATTAATCAGTTCAACCTATTTGTGTGAATCTTCTTTTTCCAATATGAAGTTTATTAAGAACAAATATCGCAATCGATTTACAGATGAACATTTGGATAATTGTATTCGAATGGCTGCATCAAATTATACTGCAAACATTAAAAAAATTATCGATGAGTCTGAGTGTCAGCCTTCTCATTGAACGTGCTTTTTTATTTTTCAATGTTTTTGTTCATGATAGTGCGTTACTTTTTTGTTGTTATTATTATGTGTATTTTTAGACTTAGCAAAGGCCTTCGATACCGTTGATCATAAAATATTGATCGATGTACTAGAGGACCTTGGTTTCAGAGGAGTAATAACAAATATACTAAAATCTTACCTAGC